CCTGTCAATAACGAGAGATGTCGGTGTTTACGTACAGAAGAGCAGAAATGCTCGTGTTTTTCGCTGTGTGTGAATCATCTTGACATTCCTGTTGTGTTGACACGATACGGTGATTCATTCCTTCGAGATGAGGTTTTACAGGGGGGAAAAGTGAGGGGAAAATTTTAGGTGGTGGGGTAAAATCGAGGCTTTAACTGTCTTGTCGTGGATTTTCATATGGAAACGGGGGAAATTTTGAATATGCGTGAGGAATTTTGATAGATGTTGGTCAATTTTTGTAAATAATGGCAAATGTTGAATGTTAGAAATGGATTGAATTTTATTGCACTGTCAGAAAGTGATTTCACAATTTCTATGTGTAATATACTGTTTTAAAAAATTGACTTTTCGCTGACAGTTGACTAATAATTTTCGAAAGAGTGACATTGAGTTTGATTTAGAAGGGAAACTAATTCAGTTGCAGATTTCCATAAAAATTCAATGAAATTCAATTTTTTTTTAAACAATAAGAAAAAAAATGTGGATGTGAGAATCAAATTGAATTTTACTGCACTGTCAGAACGTAATTTCATAATATCTATGCACAATATACCGTTGAAAGAATTGAAATTTCATTGACAGATGACTAATCATTTTCAGATGAACGACATTGAATTTGATTTAGGAGGAAAAGAATTTTAAAAGAATTAAATTTCAGATTTCCCGGAACATTCAATGAAATTCAAAATATTTTAGAAACAAGAAGAAAAAATCAAGGAAATACGTGAGTTTTCAGTAGGAGTCAGACGGAAATTTCACAACTTGATTGAATTTCCAATAGAACATGAATATTCAGAAAGAAAATCTCATAAATTTCCAATTGTTCCCTGAATTTTCCGAATTTTCGCGGAATAATTGAACTGGAAAATCAAGTATTTTATTAATTTTCCCATCATTCTACCCGAAAATCAACAGAATATTTGATTTTTCAATGACAAAATTTCCTGAAATTTCTGTGTAAATGAAACATGATGAACGACAAAAATTTGCAATAGTGTTTTCCATAAAATTATAAATTTTCAACAATTAAATACGTCAAAATTTTAATGGAACTATAATTTTATAATGTATCAAAAATATTCATCAATAGTACACGTGCATTTAGATAATTCTCAACAATAATGAAGAATTATCCATCAATAATTGAAAAAGAAATGAGTTGCAATCCTAATGCAGCATAAAAATTCCCGGACACAGAATTTTTTTTTTCTATTTAGATAAAAATGATGACAAGTCCCTCTCAATTCTTCAGTAGCAAAACGAAATACGATAGTTCCTCACCACCGTCAAAAAGTTCTCGACTTACATTTACGGATCCCTGCAACCGATACGCCACATCACCTCGTGTGTTACCGATGTTCACCTCGGTTTAATCTCCCCACTCCTCTCACTCGAGAAAAGGAGGAGAAATATCAAACGAGGCGCACATGCCCAGAGGGACGAGAGAGAAAAAAAATAAAGAGAACGAACTGAATCGTATAAAACATACATATTTAGGGGAGGGCAAAATGGGTCCATGAACTAGTCTCGGTGGGGCCCGGGTTACCGACGCATATGGTAGCGGGGGATAAAACATCGGAGTGGTAATAGCCAGGTGTTTTCGAAAGGTTGGCCGTCCTCTTTTCCTTCTGTCCTTCTTGTTCCCCTCTCGCTCATTTTTTTTTACCTCTTGAGCAGACAAAAAATGTAAACCAGCTTACTTCCGAAGGGGGGTACTACCGGTGCATGTAGTAAATATGAAAATATTATTTTAGAATATTTTAATGCAGCTTGAGTCAAAATAAAAATTTCGGCAAAAAAGTTGACACCTTTTGCTCTAATAGTTGTGAAAATACTGATGAAAACATTTTCATTTTACAAAATTATTATTTTAGGCGGTCTTGAAACTGTACTTGGGGCAAAACGGGACGTATTTTATTCAATCTCGCATAAAATTTCCGTGTCTTTTTCATAACGTAATTTGCCTTGCTTGAAAATAATTTTTTATTAAAAAAAAAAAGATTTCTTGCATTTACTTTCAATTTCTTATTATTCTTATTTATTGTTCTTATTTATTTTTAATTTATCCTCTTTAAAATCGTAATTTATATAATTGTTTAAAAATCATTGGATACTATAAGAACTAGTGCCGAATAAAATCATTTGAATGATGAAAGAAAAATGATTTTATGAAGACAATTTCACTGATCGTAAGATATTTTTGGTGAAGTGGGCTACCTGACTGGTGGTGCACTCTTCCGCCTCCCTCTGAAATAAATTTCTGGCCTCTGGCGTTCGCGTAACCGAGTGATTCTTAACTCCATCAAGATAAACCAACGTACAAGTCAGAACAAGAACGATTGTCAAGGAGAAAAGGGAGAAAAAGCATTCCTCCGTTTATTCCACAAGCGAGATTAATGACAGAATTATATTAATATAGGAGTCCGCGCTGGCTAGGACATTATAGCCTTGAGATATGAATTTATTCAACGGCCAACGAGAGTGATATTTATCCGGTGAATGAAATGAAACTCAACGAACCTGCCGCACATCTCTTATTTCTTTACTCCACAATTTTGGGGTGCACGAACGGCCGAATATGAATTCAAGGGTTACATACCTGATGCACTCGGCAGAGCACTTCCCGAGTTAAAACTGGTTGAAGCCCCGATTTGATACCTGAAGGATTGGAAAAAATAATCCCTCTACCCTTTCCCATCCTTTCTTTTCTTAAAAAATGATTTTGGGAGAGTAAGTGCAAGGTAACGTGCCCGCAGGGTTTTGTTGTGCTTCTGAAAGAATTTTTTTCTCTCGAGGTGAGGTACGATGGGGTGCGCAGTGGAAAAACCGGGTATGGGCCAGCAGGTCTGTCGAGTTGAGTCAACTTGGCACATGCCACTAAAATTTTGTGAAATATGCGGTAAAAAATGGAGGATCTGTTAATTTAGTTGAGGCAGGGGTGAATAAATATTTAACGAATTCTTTTTACACGAATGATTCGCGATGTGTGGTTTGGGGAATCAAAAATATTTTTCTTGAGGATTTGAACGATAAAATTTTGGAATTATCGAATTTTGAAAAAATCGAAAATTGAGTTCTTTAGGAAAATTTGGGAATTGGAGTTTATTAAGATGACGACATTTTTCATTAATAATTTATGAACGTAACTTTTTTATTCCAAAATTCATGTTTTAGAAATTGTAAATGAATAAATCATCTCCAGAACTTCATTCACAACAGAGTTCATGCAGAAAAAAATAATATCTCCAAAAATCTGAACAATTTCAATTACTAATGGGAAGGGAATGTTAAAAGAACGTAATTCGTCACAAAATGTCATGTGAATGACGCGAATTATCCATCAATTATTATAAAAAAAAATTATTTATTTAATTAAAGACAGTGAAATGTTACGCAAAATAAAAAATACAGTCCATTTTACCCCATTATTCTGCGAGAAGCGGATAGAAAACTCTAGGCAATAAAATTGACTTCTGAGAATGAATTTTCCGACAAAAAATGATAGTCTCCACAGTGGGAAAATGTCCTAACCACTTTCCCCAAGAATTTTCCCCACTGACCCTGAACTTTCAACTTCCACCATAATCAAGTACAAACGTCCAAACAGCGGCCCCCACCCCACCGTTCAATTGAGAGTAATTCGGACGCCCCAGGGCCCCTCCATTGAACCCACCAGAAACCCAGTGTCTAGCACACTCGCCGGAATCCACTCGAACCCACGACAATTCGCCCAACAAAATTCAATTAAATTAACAACAGTAACAACGGCGAATGAAAACCCAACGAGCCGTGACAAAAATTCTCAACGTGTACACTATTTTTTTTAACATCACCCCTTTCTCCCGCTGATCATTAAGACGTAAAATTTCCACATCATTCATTACGGGGAAAAAAAAACGACAATAAAGGAGCGAAGAGTGTACCCAATTCGCTGAAAGGGTAGGAGTTAGATTTATAAGCCCGAAGGGGTCTTTCATCCGCACTATAAACGTGTGCATATATGTGTGCGTATAACTGCGCAGCACGCGTGGGCGATGCTATGGCACGCGACACGACCGTTACGTTCAGAAAAATGGTATGAGGGGTGAGCGATTCGAGGGGGAGAAGTATCTGGCGATTGGTTGGGGTCATTCAATTCAACAAAGAAGATGAGAATTCAGAATTTTTAAAACTTTCAACTAAATTCGGCACATAAAGTGTTACAAATTAAATTTAAAAATCATTTTTCGCATGAAATAAGAACATTCTGCAAAAAATTCCAATTAAAAAAAATTGATAGTTCAAATTTTCTCTCAAAAACGAGAAAAAAAAATATTTTCACCATTTTTTTGGACTCATTTTCCCTAAGAATCTCTAAAAATTCTCAATTTGACATTTTAAATGTCGAGAATGAAAAAAATTATAAATTTCAAATCGAAAAAGATTGAAAGATCACAACAAAAAATAGTTATTCCTCAAAAATAGAAAAAAATGATTACAAAATCGCTCTTCCATTCACAACTCCGAAAAAAACGTGAAATTCCAATTCGAAAAACGGAAAAAACTTCCCGAAAAAACCATAAAGAATAAGGTGAGGGTTCTCCCCAGCATCTGCCATATCCCCACACAACAATTGAAAACGTCGTATCTAAAAGCGAACGGTACAAAACACATGAAGCCCAGGTAACCGGAGAGAGCCCACCGTTTCGGAATAAGGGAGTGGTATGAAGTGAAAATTTGAGTCGTAGTGGGGGATTACGAGGCGCGCGACTTTACGGGGGTAACAGATGCTCGTCCGCGGATTGGTGGACGGCTTGCGACCGTTCCCGTACCATTGGAGGTTAACGCGGGCCCCGTGGGCCAGCATTGGACGTACAGCACGTGCGGGCCACCTGCAAGCGGCCGGAGTGGGGACGAATAGTTATAAATGCCAGGGAGCGTGTTGCTGCCAGTCAGAGACCGGCTAGCAGCCGATACGAATACATCAGCCATCCCTTGCTCCTTCGACCTTCGAACCCATTCATCCGTTACCCCGACAATCGTGTGTACACGTTATTCGAGGAAACGAGAAAGTGCGACTTATCAAATAAACAATAAACCATAAACAATCAAATGTTGATCGAAGTGCCAGTGAGGATTTAAACATTGTGAAAATAAAAATACAAAAATCCCTTTGTATTTAATTACTTTTGAGTGAAGTGAGTACGCACAGATCTGTTGTCTCCCGATACCCAGGATTACTGGGGGGCAACTGTTGTCGTACATATTCAGCTTAAAATAAATAATTAAACAAATAAGACAAAAATGCTCATTGACGAGATGCCGCGAAGCTTCGTCAAGAAGAACAACAGCTACAGCCACTGCCCGTTGAAGAAGCGACCAGTGCATGTGATGCTGTACGATGAAGTGCCAGAATCAGCAAAAGGTAAATATCCAAACACCCTCAAAGACCCAAAAAAATCAACCTCCGTCAATCCAAAAAATCCCCAAAAAAATAATTTTCGCGAACTCACCGAAAATCTTCCTCTGCTTCCAGATGAGATAATCGACGTGGTGACCGACGACATCCCGGAGCCGGAGAACCTCAGTACCAAGCCAGAGGACCTCAGCAGATCAGCCCCAAAGCGTCGTTCTGTCTCTCGTTCCCCGTCGCCAGTTCCCCACAAGCAGCCTCACCTGGACCACCAAATTCCGTCATCCCCAGTGGCCCACTACCCCCCGAAACCGCTGACTCCGCCCGTCGGAGTGGCCCCCATCCACCCGCTCGTGAAGAAAGAGCGGGTCGAAGTGATCCAGCACGACGGTGGTGCGGTGTCAACGGGCTCGATGCACTTCATGTCCACGAAGGCGCCCCTCGAGCCCCTGAACCTGAACACACCAGTGGAGCCGGTGCCCCATTACGCCACCCCGGCCTGGGCGAGAGCAGCCCCCCTGTACCCCCCGCACTACCTTCCCTACCCGGCCTATCGTTTCCACCATCACCCGGGCGCCGAGCTGTACCCGGCGTACCCGCTGCCAGCGTATCCTCACTCCCCTGAGCACGCGTCAGCCTCACCGCCGCCGATGCAGCACACAGCGCTGACATGCCCGACGATCCAGAGACCGATTGCCAGGAGTTACGCGCACTGGGCCGCGTCGTCGAGCCCCGACCACTGCGGCCTGTCGCCAACGAGTTCAGTGGGCTACTCATCCCTGCGTTCGCCACCCCCAGTCACCCCCGAGGACCTCTCATCCCCCGGCAGCGACAGCGGGAGATCCTCAGCTGGAAGCACCTCAGCAGGATCGAGCATCCTCATGAAGATGGACAGCAACACCAGCCCCATCGCCACCTCCAATCCCGCTAACCAGACGAGTGCGTCCACCAGGTACCAGTGCCCGGACTGCGGCAAATCGTACTCCACGTACTCGGGCCTGTCGAAGCACCAGCAGTTTCACTGCGCCGCCGCCGAGGGCCAGACCAAAAAGTCCTTCTCCTGCAAGTACTGCGAGAAAGTTTACGTCAGCCTTGGCGCACTCAAGATGCACATCAGGACGCACACGCTGCCCTGCAAGTGCCATCTCTGCGGGAAGGCCTTCTCCAGGCCTTGGCTACTCCAGGGACACATCAGGACGCACACCGGGGAGAAGCCCTTCAGCTGTCAGCATTGCAATCGCGCCTTCGCTGATAGGAGCAATCTCAGGGCTCATCTGCAGACGCACAGCGATGTCAAGAAGTACTCGTGCACGTCGTGCAGCAAGACCTTCAGCAGAATGTCTTTACTCACCAAACATCAGGAGGGCGGCTGTCCCGGTATGAATGTTCCCATTGGTTACGGGTGTTGAGGGGGATGGGGGGTATTCCGAGTGCCTTAACGTGGAATTTCACGATAGACTGAATTTACGAGGAGTACAAATATTAATATATTTTCTATTTTTATTGTATATGTGAGCAGAGTTGCCAGATTGGGCGGGTTGACGATAATTTGGCGGGTTCGGAATGTTTAGGGCTCGAGGGGCGAAATGTATTTGAAAAATCTTCGTAGGATGAAGTATGACTCAATATCTAGTTTTGCAAGTTACTGATTTTCTTGTTTACATATCGGTATTCAATTCTGCTGTTGCAACATTATCTAGCCATCGTTTCCGATGATGAGGACCAGTTGTTCCAATTGTTTTTTCTAGAAGCTATTCTTTGGAACATTTTTTTAATGAACTCGTCAATTAGTTACATCAATGTTTTGACAGATTCCCATGATGACTTCATTTGTAAATCTGATTTTTTGGCGATATTTCGTATCCAATGAAGGTTCATTACATTAAACACGCACGTATTCACGCATAGACTGCTGAAAAAATCATTATATGAAAAATGGGCGAATTTTTGCCGACACTAGCACCGACTTTGGACGATTTAGGCGACATTGGAGGGAATTACTGGCGACGAAACCCCTGAAATATCTGGCAACCCTGTATGTGAGAGGGTAAATGAGAAAATCGAGATTTTCTTAGTTAGGGACGAGGTGTCGAGCTAATCGGGTTCTTTTTGTACTTATTCTGGGGTCGAGTGGATGAGGAGGTTTTTTTCCTTTCAACATGGTTTTTTAGGGGAAATCGTGCCACCGCTGGACGCGGTACCGTGAAACTTTAGTGCCATGATTTGATTTTTTTTTTCATCTTTCAGTTCCATTCCTTTCGCTTATTAATTTATCTCTAGGGTTAGTTGTAATTTCGGTTAGGTTGCGGCGGAGACAGCACTAAAGTGCTGAAAATGTACATAATTTTTTGGCGATGAGGCACAGGCCGTTTGCGTTCTTAAGTGTATGGGGAGAAAAATTATTCACTTTTGATTGAGTTACTCGAACATACTAGTCATTGTACATAAACACAAAGATTAAAGAGTGTGTGTTTGGCGTGTGTGCGCAGAGAAAGTAGAGTGGAGTCAAAAATTGGAGGATTATTCCGTTGGAATACCATTTTCGAGAGAAATATTGCGCGGACTCAGGGCGAGTACCACTATAATTTTATATAAGAGGTTTTTTGTAAAGAAAGTAAATATAAACTGGCAGCGTACAGAGGATGTGTTCTATATATTAAATATTTTATACGAAATAAATAATTTTCAATTGAATTTGTCATTATCTTTTTATTTAGTTTGAGTTATCCTGTTACCCTGTTTCCTAATGAGTTAATGTTTGAAGTGGGGAATTTGACACATGTTGGCGCTGGGGATGACACAATGGAGCTTTTAGCACGAGGCAAACAGCATCTGTCGTTGGAACATCAGACGATTTCATGATTATTTGTGTTAAGTTTGGCTGTTGTTTATTTGAAAATCATCAATGAGGAGAAATTGTGAGGAAATCACTGGGGATTTAACTCGGAATGAATGGTCTAACAGCTTTGAAAGGCAATACAAATGGTCAGTGTCATTCACTACTGGCCCTGGACAGGTGGAACTTCCTATTCTAGTGAAAAATGTCGATTGAGTTTTTGTTTGAAGTGTTTGAAAACCAGCAGAGGATGAATGCAATACTGAGTCTTGAGGATTGAGAAAAGGAAGGTAAGTGAGAGGGTCTCGGTGTCCGAGAGGTCGGGTCTTTATGACTGGGACTGGTGTACCAGGCGATTGGAACAGGTGTGTTTCTTGCATTTGGGGACCAAAGGCTATTCTTTGCAATTCAGGGGGACAAAAGTACCCGCGGGGACAATGGAGGCTGCGAGGGGCGGGGGTTTAGGGAGGTCGGGGCTCGGGGGGAAGTTCAGAGGGCGATAATTCCCGGAATCCTGGGGAGTTTTTTTTGTTAAACGGGAAAATGCCCTTTTATTTATAGTGGACAGGTTTTATTTGTGAGAGGCAGGTTTCTTTTCTGCTTTCGGATTTCAAATGTATCAAATTTGATGCGTTCGGGAGTGCACTGTAAAAATTAATGGCGCAGGGAAAAAATTAATCAGTGATCGAGGGGAATTATCAGTGGGAAAGTAATGGGTCATTTTGAATTTTTGATCAATTCCCTTTTCCTTTTGTAAATGAATCGATTAAGAGCTGGAATCGGTGAAAAATAAGGGACGTATTTTTTTTATTCGTGAGGGAATTCTTCGGGAAATCAAAGAATTCTCCAGAGGTGAATAATTTTCTAGATTTTTGTGGAATGAAAAAATAAAAATTGACGTTTTCCTAGAATTTTGTGAGAAACCCGGGAATTTTCTCGATTTCAAGTCAAAACAGAAAAGAAATTAATGAAATTCGCGAAAAATAGAAATTTACGTACAATTTTCTAAAAAACTGGGGAATTTTCACGGTTTTCTAGAAATTAGAATCGATATCCAAGTAAAAATGTGAACGAGAAATTAATGAGATTCTCAAAAATATGTAATGAAAATACAAAAAGGAAGAATTAATCGATTTCGCGTATAATAAACACGAGGAAATTGACAATTATGACGCAAGGAATAATTTGTGAGCTTGAAGAATATAAAATATCGCATTTACCTATCGGAATTGAGGACTAGTAGCCCGACAATTGCACCAAGTTTTCATATTTTATAAATAGGATTTTCAGAGATTTTTGGAACTCGTGTTTGAAATAGTGGAAATTTCTTTGAGGTATCTTTCACGCTTCGACAACAGAATCCGTCGCTGAGAGCCGACATATCCACGCGGGTTTTATTATGGAGGAGTTGAGTCGAGCCGTGACCGATCACCGAGATATCACGGTCAACTAATACTGCCACGTCAACGCCTTGTCATTTCAGTTAGTTTCTTATAATCTTGGGATTGAGGTTGAGAAATATGGGGGGATGAATATGCGTTCGTAGATGGAAAATAGAGAATATTATTTTTAATTTGAGATAAAAGACTTTTTGTTTCAACACTCGATGAATTAAAATAGACAATTTATTCTGTCCCAGTATTCTCTAAAATATTCTCTAAAATAATTATTTTTTCATCTTTTTTTTCCCAAAAATGAATAAAAACATGAGAAGTTTTAGAAATTTTGTTTTTTCTTCTTGTGTTTGAATAAATTGAAAGAATTGAAGAAATTGAATTTCTATAATTTAAAATATTGTTGATGAAAATGAAAATTGGAATGAAAATTGTTTAATTTTGTTGTAAATTGATTCGATAAAATTTGAATAAAATACAGATTAGGACAAATCCGAGAAAATTTCCTCTTTGAAAATTCCAGATTCCGCTGTTATGAATCTCGCCGTAAATTGAAAAATGAAGATGAAGAATGGGGCTAATTAGGTATGGTGTCGGCACAACTGTGACGATGAAACAAGAGCATAACAACCTGTTACCCCTGGCGGGTCTCTCTTGGGGATCCTTTCAAGAGGTATGGACAACAGATGGCCCATGGCCCATACTGCACCTGTCAAAAGTAGCCGAGAAGCTATTCGACAGATTGATTACCATTTTCCATAATTTTCTTGTCTTAAATTTAACGCCAATGAGTTTCTACTCTATTATCCCAACATAAATCTATCTTGTGAGGAAAAAAATTTAATGGAATTTCTTGACCACTGGAGAGAAATTTCTCTTCAACTTTATCCCAAAATGCTAATACCATTTCCAGTAAAAATTGGACTGTTTTACAGAACTTTTTCCTAAAATATTGTGATAAAAAAAATAATAAAAAATGAAAACTGAAATTTAAAAAAATTAATGAAAGTATTTTAAAAGAAAAAAAATCCAATAAATCTATTTTATGAAGTGCGAATATTCCTCAGTGTAAACATATTTAAATCCACCTATCGGGATAATGTAAATCAAGGTGAAGCTCCGAGTCCTGTACTTTGTATCTAAATTGTTGGCCATAACGAATTTACTCGCGTGTTGAAAAAAAATTTTTCGAAAATTACCCATGTGCATAAATGTACATTCTGCATCTTCGCACTTTAATGATCGCTTAAAACGGACCCCAATGGTTTCTAGATAACATCGTCGAGTCATCAGTCAGCGGCTTATCGTCGGGAGGGAGTCGAATAAAAGAAGGCACGCGCCGAGAACGCACTGAAAACTGTAAAATCACTCCATCGAATCACGTCGCGAGGATTTTATTATTACGAGAGTTTGTCTCCTTTTTTTTACTAACGACATCTTTTAACTGCAAACGTGGGACAAATGCGCGTGCATTTATCATGGGTGGAAACTACCCGCGGGGGCTGCCCACTGGAACGTAATTAATTTCGACGCTGATTAATATGTGTAAATTGTGGGGTTAGGAAAGTGTGGTAATGGGAGCTGGGGAGGGCAGTGATAAAACTTGATGGCAGAATGAGGATCAATGATTTTTGAAAACATTCAGTGATACGTTTGGTTAATTATAATTATTAGTTAAAATTAAGATGATTAATTACAATTAATAATTAATCATGATAAAATTAAATTAATGAATAATAATACTTAATCATGATTAATGATTGTAATGATTATAATCAATAATCATATTATTATAATTCATCTAGTCTGTCGTCAATGGGAATTACGTCTATTATTACTTCAATTCTCATTTAATTCTGACTGATTTCTCTCATAATTTTGTTCCACACTTTTTTCATACATCAGAATTTAATTGATTTTATCAATTGAAAAACTGAAAATAATACTGAGTCATTGAATCCCAAAAACTTAGGATCATTTCAGTTGATGTAAAAAATTTCTGAAAACTCAGTCGATTTCTAAAAATTAATATTCAATTCCTGAAAATAACGTATACATTCCGAAAAACCACTGAAACGAATGAAAAAAAAAATTTTCTTTATTCGCAACCCGTTTTGTCCAAAACTCAAATAAAACCCATTTAATTTGTAAAAAATGAATCCGCCCATTCCATTCCCAAAATAGCACCTTAAACATTCCCAGACCGGACCCAAAACGAGAACAATCGTCTAACTGTTAAATTCATTTGTGACCCGAAGTTTCCGTGGGTCCCAGCTGAAATAAAAAAAAATCATCAACACCGGTCATCGTCAAAGAGGAGGAGGACGGACCTGTGGGGACGATTTGACGCGCGTCATTATGCGAGGTGTGGCAAGGCACTTGAAACGCGTAGGTGGTCCCCCCCTCCTCCCTCTCTATGCAAAACTCTCTCGTGTTGCACGTGTGAACTCCGCTTTCCGATCTTATACACAACTGCTGATGTCTGGTATAATCGAAATCTTAAATGCACGAGGAAATTGAGTCGTCGCGACAATTTTGTCGGGCACAGGTCCGTAAAATTAACAGGACCTCGATTCCACGGTTAATGATGGAGTTTAGATAACCTTTGATCCCACGAGGGGTAAAAAACTGCGACAATCAAATGCATTCCCAGTGATAAACCTGAGAAAAATGGAATGCCACTTCTGTCGTTTTGTATTCATTGAAAATCGAACATGCGAGACAAGTCAGTTCTTTGGTTTCGTGGAAAATGAAATATATTATAATTATTTCATCTATAATTATTTATAATAATTTTACGGAAGTGATGAAAAATGGTAAAAATAATATACCTCATTGTACTTTTAATTCATAAAATATCCCACACTAAATAGTACTTGAATTGATTGTAAAAATAGTATTTTTAAGACGCCTCAATTCAAGATATTAATCCCATTAAGACATGGACGTATACATGGGCATGGAATTATAAGACGTATTAGGTCAGATTTATACCATAGAAAGAATACATTGACGAGGATAGAATATTTTTTTCCGAAAAAAAAAATATTGTCTACTCGAAATTATTTACAGTTTTGTCATTAATGCAGTTTTCTCTTGAAATTATCATTTGTTCCGTGGAAATTATAAGTGTTTATTCGACAAAGATATACACTACTCGATAACATTCACTTGATAAAGCCAGAGCCTCATATAATTTTTCGGCAGAACAAATTTTTTCTCTGTGTTAAATATTATCCTAAGGAAAAAAACCCTTGGCCAAAATATACTCGAATCAAGAATAATATGCTTGAATCAAGTATATTTTATACTCACTTCAAGTACATTTTTTCCGTGTAAATTCGAAATAAAACATCATCAAGAATGTCTGAAACGCAAATGTCTTAATTAATGTCTCAATTTGAG